CGTCCCCGTCGGGCTGGGGCGGGCCGGGTCCGGGGGGCTCGGCCTGGCGGAGGGCGCTGTAGGCGCTGAGCAGGCAGCCCAGCAGGGCCAGGGCGCTGAGCGCCGCGTAGACGCGCAGGCTGGGCCAGGGGAAGCGCTCCAGGAAGAGCAGCGGCATGGCGGGGGCTGCCCGGAGGGTCTCCCGGCAACAGCGGGGGTCGCTCGCTCGCTCGCTCGCTCGTCGCCCGCGCTCACCGGCCGCCGGAGCCGAGCAGGGCCGAGGGGCTGCGCCGCCTGCCTGCCTGCTTGCCTTCCTGGCTAGGAGGCGGAGGCGGCGGAGGAGGAGGAGGAGGAGCCGGGCCCGCCTGGCCAGCCGCCCGCGGGGCTCCCTCGGCCGGACCCGGCAGGGCAGGGCAGGGCAGGAGGCGCAGGGCCGGCGGGGACCGGACGACGCGGCGGCGGCGGCGACCCTTCCGCTCTGCTGGCCGGACGGCGGGCGGGGCTGGGGCTGGGGCTGGGGCTGGGATAGCCCCCCCCCCTGCCCGCCGGGCCTGGCTACAGTGTTGCCGTCGGAGCTGCCGGTCCGGGAAGGGGCTGCGTGCCCGTCAGCGCTGGGTTGGCGGCCGGCCGGGCCTTGGGGGATCCAGCCGGGGATCCTGGGAGCTGCCGGTCCGCGGAGGGGCTCCGGGGAAATGGCCAGGGGGGAGGCAGCCCCGCCGGGGAAGGAGGGAGGGTATACCGGGGGGGGGGAGGCGCAGGGGGGGGGCAAAAGGGACCGGGGGGAGTCACCCCCAGTGCCCCTTGGGGGGGCAAAAGGGGCCGGGGTTCTCTCTCTCTCTCTCTCTCTCTCACACACACACACACAAACACACAGTGCCCCCCCCCTTGGTGGAGCGGGCGAGGAGACCCTTGTTATGGGTCTCGGGGGCCTGGCTAAGAGGGGTGGGTTGTGGGGAGAAGAGATGCTTGCTCCTACCGGTATTGGGGAGGGGGCGAGTCTCAAGTCTGTTTGGACACGTGAAGGAGACCGGCAGTGTCCTTCTTCCCTACGGCCACAACGGAGCTCAACATGTCTGTCGCTAAGCGAGACGGAGGTTAAGGGAGGTTTGCCCCGTTTTGCGACCTGCCTTGCCACAGTTGTTAAGGGAATCGCTGCAGTGGTCAAGGTTGCAAAAGGAATCTGGCTTCCCCGGTCGCGACCGTCATAAATATAAACCAGGGAATAAATATAAAGCGTCCAAATTTTGATCACGGGACCGTGGGCAGGGAACACTGCAGCGGTCGTAAGCGTGAAAAACGGTCGTTAAGTCCCTTTTTGCAGGGCCGTTGTAACTTGGAATGGTCACTAAACAAACCGTTGTAAGTCGAAGACAACCTGTAAGCCTTTTTTCCTTCCTATCTTTTTCCTTTTTCTTTCAGTACATCTTTTATTCTCTTTATTCTTCTGTATCGTCTTTGGTTATTAAAACTTCCCATTAATTTTTTTAAAGTTGGGGGGGGAGGAAGGATGAGGACAGCCCTGAAATACTTTGCAGACATGTAAGGGAGGGGGGATTTCCGAGTCTGCGGAAGCTAGAAAATTGGGAGGAGGGGGTTGTGAGTCCGGGCACTGTGATGTGGTAGTTCAGGAGATGGAAAGGAAAACGGCAACAGTCCCTTCAAGGCTGCCCCCCCACCACCAATCAAGTTCCCCTGGCCTGGGGGATTGTGAACCAGTCCCCCCAAGTTTTGGACCAGTCCCCCAAGTTCTCTGGGGGATTTTAGACCACTCCTTCCCAGCACAGCCTACCCAGAAAGATTGTTGTGGGATGACACAGTAGAGCAGGGGTCTCCAAACGTGTCCACTTTAAGACTTGTGGACTTCAACTCCCAGAATTCCCCAGCCATGCTGGCTGGGGAATTCTGGGAGTTGAAGTCCACAAAAGTGGACACGTTTAGGGACCCCTGCAGTAGAAAAAGGGCACCCTAAGCAGCTTTGAACTCCTGGAATATGAACGTATAACCAAAATGCTTTCCTCAGCAGGCGGTTGAGCCCTGCCTTAAAGAGTCACATCCTGTCCCGATGATTCATCCTTCTAGCCCTTCGTTCAGGGCCACCAAATGTCACACACACACAACCCCATGTGACCTCTAGACTTTGATCAGGTGTCCTTCGCATCACACAACACCTCTCTTGCACGGCTGCTTTGGGCCTGTAAAAATGTCAGCCTGCCTGGGCAGGATTTACTTTTAAGCTCTGAGAAATGAAGCACCTCTTACAGCAGCTGTGGACTTCCAGAAGTTTTTGTTGTTGTTTTTAAGATGACAACCTCCATCATTTCTGACTAGACTGACAGCCCAGCAACTGAATTTGTTTTCATTTATCTTTATGTCTATGCATATCTTTCTATCGATGTAGCTACCTACCTCTAGATCTCTGTATCTGTTATCTATCTCTATATACACGGGTAGTTCTTGACGCGCAACCGCAGTTGAGCCCAAAATTTCTGTTGCTAATTGAGACATTTGTTAAGTGAATGTTGCCGTTTTACGACCTTCCGTGCCACAGTTGCTGCAGTTGTTAGTAACACAGGCTGTTAAGTGAATAAACCAACACGCAACTCAAACATGAAAGGGAATCCCCATTATTCAGACAGACTTATTTGGACAGCCTTTAAACGAGACAATTACACGGCCCCTGGAATCCAAACTGGCTAAGCTACTTGTGAACATTTGAGTACAAATACTAAACGTGAAAATTACTTGTCTGCAGTGCAGCAAAAATATACCAGCCAGAAATCAGCATTTCCTGTAGAAATGAATTTGCTGGCCTCAGCTGATAAGAGGCATGACACAATTTGAAACTCGGCAGGGGGTGTGTGTGTGTGTGTGTGTGACTTTCTCGGTGTTTTCAATAACTCCAATATGAGTGGCCCTGTGTATTTAATTTACTTCTTTAGTTTGCCTCCTCTTCAGTTCTATGAAAAGCAGAGAGAAAAATGGCATGGCGAGAGCTAAGTTTGATGCAATGAGATACCCCTTCCTCCCTCTTTCTTTTCTTCTCTTGCTTTCCTTCCTTCTTCCCATTTTTCCTCGCCTCCCTCCCTCCTTCCCTTTTGTCTCCTGGTAAGTAGCTGGACTAGTCCCTGCAGTTTTCTTAGCAAAGTTTTTTCAGAAGCCATTGTCTCCTTCCTAAGGCTGATAGAGTGTGACTGGCCCAAAGTCATTCAGCTGGTTTTGGGCCTAAGGCAGGACTAGAACTCACTTTCTCCTGGTTTCTACCGATGCCTTAACCCAGTGGTGGCGAACCTATGGCACGGGTGCCAGAGGTGGCACTCGGAGCTCTCTCTGTGGGCACTCGCGCTGTCGCCCTAGTCCTGGGCCTTCAGCTGGGTTTTATAAAACCTTTTCGCTTTAGGCCTCCGCCGCTGTGTGCAAAAAAAAAAAAAAAGTTTCAGTCAATTTCAACTTCTCGCAGGAAAAAAAAAAGATCTTGCAAAGTTGGAATTGATTGATTGAACTTTTTAGTCCCACCCATTCCGCCGTTACCACTGCAGCCACGCCCACCCAATGGGCCACGCCCACCCAATGGGCCACACCCACCTGGCACCCGACGATGCATAAGTGGGTTTTGGGTTGCAGTTTGGGCACTCGGTCTCTAAAAGGTTCGCCATCACTGCCTTAACCACTAAACCAAACCAACTGGTATCTATTCCACCTTTTTGCCACCTTTTCTAGACAAAACTACTGAAGCAGGTCTGCTGGCGAAAAGCTATACCTCAAATTTCAGCCGTGCAATTTTTCAGAAATCCCCGAGTGATACTCACATTACTGGTTTTCAACGGGTTTTTTTTAAATTTCCCAATATATGGTTAAAACACTGAAGACCACCTCCATTAAACCCCCCCCCCCACAGAACACTATGATGACAATCAGCCAATGGATAGAAATCTCTCTTACGAGTATTGAAAAAGAGCCACCCATGAACGCACAACTGAGTCCATTTTTGTTTAATGTTATTTAAAAAAAAATCAGGGTGACTATCACAACATAAGTGATTAAAATGCAATTACAGTTCTTATTCCACTGTCTAAACAGTCAAGATTCACTTTCCTATTCAGAGAGTAGAAAGTTGGGGAGGGGGAAAACTCAAAGGGAGGGGGGAGAGAAAGAGAGAAAGAGAGAGACATAAAAAAAATCCTTGCGTCACATTTTCTCTTCTACATTTTAAAGCTGTTCTCACAGAGACGGCTTCTACTCACACTTCAGGACATTCAGTTGTAAATAAAATTGAACCTGCCAAAGAGAGGGAGAAAACATCTTACATTCTCAGTTAGAAAGGTGGGATTCTTTCTTTTTTTTTTTTAATTTCTGGGCAATTGCATGCTGGCTCTCTGCACTTCAAAAAAAAATTCTGGAGCACAATTTAGGCAGTGTACTTGGTTCACAGCAAATGGGACTTTTGCCTTATCCCATACCGAAGACACAAGCCCTTGGTTGGTGTTTCTGGCCCCTTGAGGCTTGGAAGACTGCACTTTCAAAATCTGGAAGCAAATTGCAAATTTTGGATGGCAAGACATTTTACTGTTCAGCTCTCCAGCATTGTTGCCACCATTTGCAGCTCCTGTTGGTTTGTCCATTCATGACAACTCCTGAAAACGTTCCAGGCTTCAAAACCCCCTGAAGATGAAGAAGGATGGACAATCTGCGTAACTCTAATATAAATCAGCGCTTTATCAGCCAAATATCAGGTAGAAGTGCCTGGTTACCCTCCTAGCCTTTGAATTTTCGCCCAATTTATTTTTACTTGTACATTTTAACTTGTTTTAACTTTGTTTTTCAGCTCTGCTTTTATTTGTATATGTATATGGTTTTGTTACGTTGGATGCTGCTGTACAACTTTCCAGAGCCACTTAGGTGAGATGGGTGATGTAGAATCCCAAATGTGTGATGTAGAATCACAAGGCAACTGGACTTTTTCTTTTGAAGACGTTTCGCTTCTCGTCCAAGAAGCTCCTTCAGCTCTCTCTTCTTCAGGGTGATGTAGAAATAAATTGTGTAAGAACAAAATTCCAGAACCTCAGATTGAATCATAAACAGCATCATCCAACAGTAATACTGCCAGACTTATAGTACTAGGGATAAGATATAGCCAGAGAGAAAAATTCCTTTTTTTCTCACAATCCCAAATAGTTAGAC